CTGACTTCTCCTTTCTCACCATTTCCCCGGATGCTAGCAAAATTTGTCAAGGCAGTCAAAAATGACTTCGCCCTGTCTAGTCGTTGCCTCTGGAAAAAGAATTAGATCATTAGCAAAAAAATAGATGAGAGAGGGGTGGGCCACCTGGTGAAGTTTTGAGCGGTTTCCAATGCCCCTGTGTGACTGCACTTTCAATGACATGCTGAGCCCTTCTACACAAAGGGTGAATAGGTAAGGCAAAATGGGCAACCCTAGCGCAATCCTCTAGATGGGGAAAATGGCTCGGTCTCATTGTCATTCCATAGTACCCGCATGGAAGCCGCTATAACACAGTGCATGATCATTGTTATAAGCTCGCCAGGAATGCCTGCTTGCTCCAAAGTTTCATGCAGGAATTTCCAGCTCAGACGATCGTAGGCTTTATCTAAGTCAATCTTAACCACCATCTTACCTCGTTTTCCAATCTTCAACCCCATTGAATGCACCACCTCTTGAAGAATAATAATATTATCCGTGATATGCCTACCTGGAAACGAAACTAGTTTGCGTATTATGAACCAGACAGCTCATCATAGGCTTAGTCCAATTAGCCAGACACATCGCTAAAGATTTGTAGAGAACATTACACAGTTCAATCGGTCTAAACTGTGCCATCGTTTCCAGATTCTCCTTCTTGGGAAGCAGCAATACGTTAAGGGTTCCTAAAGCACTACCCAATATGGTTAAAGAAAGGGTCCGCAATCTTCCCCCAACATTTCAGGAAAAAGACAGCTAGGTAGCCGTCCCGCCGCGGGGCTTTAAGCCCTCCCATTTCCTTCATGGCCCTCCATATCTCCTCTCGTGTCAAGGGAATCGCCAATGCAGCTCCGAAGAAAGCGGAGCTGATTTTCTCTAATTATTGTCTCTCGTGGCTTAGGTGCAGTATGATCCTTTTGATAACAATATTTACATAAATTTCTTGTACATTAAAACTGAAAATGTCCATAATAGTTACAATTGTAACACCTTATGTGTTTCTTCATATTAGTTTTATACTATATACCTTTTAATTTTCCCTGAATAATTTTTATTTCATTAGACGGTTTCGGACTTTGTTTGTCAAAACTGTCAATTTTCATGATCATACTTGCACATATTTCTTTATTTCCACTAGACTTTTTTTAATTCCTCAAAAATATAATCACGGTTTCTCCTTCTTTTCTTTAGGTCATTGTGATTAACAGAAAAATGCATATGTTCAACTCTCAATATCTGTAAGGCTTACTTGAGGGATTTTTCCAATAATAGCACGTTTAAAAAAAATTACAAAACTAGCACCCATCCGAAAAAAATGACAGAAATAACACCATTTTACATGGAACGCACCCATAAGGTGCGTTTTATAAGTAAACCGCACCCCACAGGTGCGTTTTACTTATAAACCGCACCTTAGGGGTGCGTTCCATGCCACGTCAGCACGCGAACCGCACCAGGAAGGTGCGGTGTGCTTTCTCTGTGGAACGGTCTTCAAGACCGTTAGATGGAGAAGCGATCCGACGGCGGACCGCGCCCCAGCAGAGCGATCCGCGCCATGGATCAAGGACCGCACCTGCAAGGAGCGGTCAGCGCCTCGTGACTCGCAAACCGCATCGGAAGGGAGCGGTTTCTGCGAGGGGAAAATTACCAGACCCCCCCCCCCCCTTCCCCTCTCATTTCTTCACACCACAACCCATTCTTCCTTCTCTCTCTAGAATTTATCTCTCTAAACCCTCCCCTCCCAAAAGCATAGGAAATAGTGGTTTGTTGGTTGCGGCGAAGTCCGATCTGCCATCAGAAAACATTTCTTAGGTTTTTTCCTCAAAACCCGCCGAGCGGAATCTCTGTCCGAATTTCCCGAAAAAATGGCCGATTGGTGGCAAGGAGAGGGAGTTTATGTTGATGAATTTCAAGCGGTACGTACTCATTATTCTGGTTTAATTTTTGTTGTTGTTATAAGCTTTTTAATTAATCTATGTACTAACCTCGTTGTTATTTTCTCGTAGGTTGGGGAGGACGTGGATATATACAACCAACAGTATTATCTCGAGCAAGGACCATTGGATCCAACCGACTTGTACGACCAACCCAACCATCGGTCAAGGGATATTTGGAACGATCACCCGGTACATACAATTCTTTACCATTTGTCCTTCTTTTATTTTGTTAAGGTATTTAGTGGAATATAAAATAAATTTATGTTGATTTTTTAATCGTGTTGGTTGTTTTCAATAATTTAATCGAATACATAGCACCACTTACTTCGACTCTTTATAAAGAGATGCACGTCTAAGAAAATGGGGTTTTAACCGATTATCATATCTTCCCATTCCCTGGGAAAATCGGGTATTAAGAGATCCTCGGATCCCCCCTTTTTCTGTCAAAAAGACTGCGTTTCTAAGAAGATGTATACCTCTTCTAAGAGTCTAACGAGTGTTGCTCTATATTCGATTAAATTATTTAAAATAACCAATATGATTAAATTATTTACCAAACAACCAATACGATTTATTTTTATGTGTACAAAATGAATTTTATTAATTTCAAACATTTGAATATGTATGTTTCTCTTTAAATTATTATTCATTAACAATGTTATTTATGTTAATTAATTTAGTATGTTTTTTTTACGATAATATGTATGTATCTCTTTAAATTATTATTCATTTAGAATGTTATTATGTTAATTAATTTAGGATTTTTGTTTTATGATAATATGTATGTATCTCTTTAAATTATTATTGATTTACAATGTTATTATGTTAATTATATGAAATGTCTTTTTATGATAATAAAATTCTGCTTGAAGTTAAATAATTTAATTTAATTAATTTAGTTATAAGAAAAAAACCCTTACTAATATATAATAATTAACGTGTAAATTTTCGCTAGGAGGCACAAACAATACTCCGCTACAGGGGTACGACCAATGTGCTCCCATTCCACCCAGCTATCTTGCCCTTTCTCAAAAGGGCACGGTTGGACCCGATTAGACATTTTAACGGCATCAAAGTTGATCGCCAACTCATCCCCGCATTAGTTGAGAGATGGAGAAAGGAGACCCATTGTTTCAACTTTAGAGAAGGAGAGGCCACCATCACGCTAAAGGATGTCGCCATCCTAACCCATCTGCCCATCGACGGCAAACCGGTGTGCGTGAGTGATCATCCCCCCGAGGATCATGACGGTATGCCCGGTTGGGTTCATTTCATCCACAGTGTTTTGGGAGTGAAAGTACCAATGAAGGGGTGCGTTGATGCGACCGATCGCATGCCACCAATGAGGAAACACCAAGTCTCAATTACTTGGTTGACGAAGTATTTTAGAGACCATTACGAGAGTCATCCCCTAACCGAGGAAAGTCCGGAGGATGAGAAGGAGAGATATGCTCATGTCTATCTCATAGGCATGATCGGAGGAGTGTTCTTCTCCAAAAAATCAAGCAATCTCCTTAGTTGTGGATGGCTTGGAAAGATTGTTGGACCTCAAGAATTCGAGCATGGCATCTACCTCATCCTGAGTGGTTATGAGATATTCATCATGCCACAATGACCCACTTTCTCTGTTTGGATATCGGTACACCATACGATCAACTCTTCTCGTGCCATTCATGCAAGTAACGTTAGTGCACATTTGATGGAGTTCTTCAAGCAGCGGTCTGGTAGCGACCTTTATCTTCTGAAAATTGCCACCGACGTAGGTGACCCCCTTTCCGGTCTCTTCCGTGTAACCATTCCACCGTAAGCCAAGCGTGAACTTTTGGAATGCCATCTGCAAAAAAATCGTAGTTCAGTTAATATCATAAAAATCAAATATAAAAATAACAATAAAAAGTAATACAAAATAAACTTACGAGTTAACGTTAATCGCAAAACTACTAAAGAAATATAGAGCTACAACAGAAAATTGAAAAGGGAGAAGGAGAGGTGTGAAGAGAAGTGGTTTTCCGGGAAGTCTTTTATAGGCAAAATCACTGATGAAAACCGCACCTTAGAGGTGCGGTTTTCATCTGCCATGCAGGCCCATGCAGACCCACGTCTGTTATTCTGCATGGCATGTCGGAAATTAATTGACCAAAACCGCACCCCCAAGGTGCGGTTTGTGTGACAAAACCGCACCTTGGGGATGCGGTTTCGTTTTGGAGAAACAAACTGCATCTCCATGGTGCGGTTTTGCTAGGTCAGGCCAAAACCGCACCTCGGCCAAGCGGTTTATGTAGGTCAAACCTGAAACCGCTTGGCCAAGATGCGGTTTTGGTCCAGGATTATAAACCGCACCTTAGAGGTGTGGTTTATGTATAAAGTGCGCCTCTAAGGTGCGGTCCATAAAAAAGGGTGCTATTAGTGTAAATATTTTCGGCTGGGTGCTATTTTTGTAAATTTTTTTTAAAAGGTACTATTTCTGGAAAATTCCCCTTACTTGAAGAACATTGACCATAGTCAGTATTTGAGTCTACATCCGCGCATTGAAGAAGGGGTTATGGGAGAACCTTTTTGTTATTATTTTCAAGTGCCATGAGTCCATAGTGTTAAATGCTGGCATGAGCAAACAAAACCTCTATGATCTTCGACTTCTAACACCTGAAACTAATAGCAACAAAGTGTGTTTCCTTGTTGAACTTTTTATTACTCCTCTACAACCGAAACAAGTGACACTACCTTTTTCATTTGTCATTTGAGCTTTATCATAGCAAAAAAAATTCTAAAATTTCCTTGTATGTCATAGCTTCTTATCATAACTCCTGGCTTTTATGTTAAATCTTAGGTAGTCTTATTGCTTAGAGAGAGAGCAAGGCAATCAGATTGACTATTTATTTCTCATCATCTTCATTCAACTATATCTTACTTTTTAAGGCAACATCCTTTCTTTGATCAGGTTGTTCCTTTTCTTCAATCCTTAGAACATTCATATGACCTGTTAAGGAGCACATGAGTTGACTTAGCTCAAATTTTACTAGGTCCTTGGCTTCTTTTATATCTGTAACTTTAGGCCTCCAAGACATGCAATGTATTTAGAAACTTACTAACTAGGTCAACATTGGTATAGGTTTTCCCTAGAGTCACGAGATCACTACTAATATTAGTGAATCTCTCATACATTTCTAAGACGCCATCAATATCATTCATTTTGAACATTCCATATTCTTTCACAAGTATCCTAATATGAGTATCTTTAAATTTAGAAGTACGTACATATGTTACCTCAAAGTGTATCCTAAATCTTCAAAGGCCCCAAATCGCTCATCCATTGTCGCCTTCATCATCTCTGAGCTCACTAGAGTGTACTTGATGAATCATTAATTTTTTCGATCAAGGTATTCCACATGCTCAACCACCTGCTTAAGTCGAGCATCGTAACTTACAAACTTCTCTTTGAGGGCTTGAAGGCACGGTTAGTTGGGACCACTGTCACCACCATCACTGCTCATCTTAACCCTAGATTTCACTGGTTAACTAGCCATTCCTAAACTGGCCTTTGATACCATTTGTTATAACAAGAATCTTATGGAATGGCTTCTCAAATTCTCATAAGAACTAGAACGAAATAGAACGATAAAGTGAAAGAAACTACGATAAAAGAAAGAAAATAAACAACTATTTGGATTTCAATGTTGAATGCCACTAAACCTAGAGAATGAGTACGGATTTATATGATAGGGAAACCCCCAAATGCCTCTCCATTTCCTCTGGGGTCGGCTACCCCATCTTCCATTTCCTACCCAAATTATGAAATCTATCAAACAAGAAAACAATAATCAATTCCTAAACAAATACTAAAAACCAACATAAATTCTACTAGAACAGCTAATAATAATAAATAATATGCATTTTAAAAAATAATGACAAAAAATTAATTAACTAATAAAAATACTAAAAGGTACGCAATCTCATAAATTTGAATATCACGATGTCTCTTCTCGTAAGAGTCTTGGCCGCTTTAAATTTTTTTTATTACAAATGGATGCTACGAATCTCAACTTTCATTCACAACAAGACGAGGCTCGAAAACGCCTTGACAGTCATACAAGATGTATAAGGATAATACAGGATCTAAAACTGGAACAAGATGGAAACCCAAAGGTAGAGAGTGACCCTAGCTAGCTAAAGCATCTGCATATTTGTTTCCTGCTCTGTAAATGTGGTGGCAAGAGACTTCCCAATCACAGGCAAGCAAATCCTAAAAGCGGTCGATGATGGTAGCATGATGTTGATGCGTACGATACAGCCTTTGTAACAGCTGAATCGCACATTGCGAATCGAGCTCTACCCGAACCCGACGAAAATCGCGCTCCCAGGCCAGCTGAAGGCCTTCTATAGCGCCTCTCAATTCTGTCGGGTGATGGAACATACACCCAAGTTACAAGCAAATGTTGCGACGCAGAATCCTGTGTGATCTCGAATCAGGCCACCTGATGCAGCATGACCTGACTTAGGAATGACGGAGCCGTCTGAATTGAGAGTAACCCACTCGGGAGGTGGCGGCTTCCATGAGATCTCAACCTCCGTTCTAACGGGCAGACTAGGCTTATGAACGAGCATGTCTTTGTCCATGACATTCCTCACGATAGTTATCCAAGGCAGGACGCGCTGTAGAAAAGCTTCAGTGATAACGACTTGGCCCCTTGAATCTAATTTGGTTTGATTTCAGCCTTCTTACATAACCTTCAACGCAAATCATACATCTATTATCGGGTGAAACCAAACTTGGAGTTCAAGGTGTTACATTAAGACCATTTCCAATGGTAGTGCCAAAGTGCTAGACTTAGTCTAGCTCTTCGGCACCAAAAAATAGGGTTGCTCCAATGGAGTGCTAAAGAGCAAGACTTTCATTTTTTAGGTTGATATATTTTAGTAGGCGTGTTCAAATGGTTACCATGGTAATTATCAAACCAAATAAGCATAAATTCTATTAGCCATGGAATACAATATCATAACCAAACCGTCCAAACTAATACAACAACCAAAGTAACCAAACTAAATTTTAATCGGTTTGGTTAATTGGTTAACCAAAATAACCAATATAATATCACATTATCATTAAGTGAGAAAATTTTCTAGTTAGTGCATCAATTTGAAATTTATGTAATGAATAACACATAATTATAGTTAAGCCTTAGCATAAATACATGTAAAAATACAATTATCTTACATTTAACTTTTGAGTGGTTGTGCAAAGTATTAAGTATGTGTATGTAATATACGTTAGATATATGGCTAATTACTTAACTGGTCAATTTGGTTTGATTGGTTAGAAGTTTCTGAAACGAAACCAAACAAGCTAAAAAATTTAACAAAACCAAACCATTTATCCAAAATAACCAAACCAAATACTACCGGTCAAAACGGTTACCACGGTAACCACACCGTTTGAACACCCCTAGTGACAATAGGGGCGGCAATGGTTGACCTTCGAAAGACATGGAGAATGGCATTGTCACGAGAACACCGGTGGCTGACCCTACATACAAGGGGCCTCACGACTCCATCGATCCCCAACTTGGCAAGAAAAGCAAAAGGGATGGCGGTTGGCTCACATGAACCAACCGCAATGCCTCGCTCCATGGATTTAAAGAGGAAGAACTTCTTGGGAGGCAGCTGATGACTCGATATTTGCACATGCTTTCCTCTTTGTTTCTTGATCATTTAAGCTTTCATTATCGCTTCTTTGGCCTATTTTACGCTAGGTTGTGTTCCTTTGTCACATTTCAGGTCCTAGCACATAAAGTGAAGCGTAGGCGCAAGTTTCAAGTCAATCAGAGATCCATTGGCGACTCGGGGGGAGAAACTCGGGTATGACTTGAAGAAGAATGGATTTCTACCTCAGTTTGTGAACATATAATCATGTAATCTTGTCAAGAGAAGAAAGAGGATGAGACTACGAGCGTCTGGGATCAAACGACACCTGATTTGGAGTCCGAACGAGGGAGAAACGAAGAATCAAAGATAGGGGACCCGAAACTGCAAAATACCCGACCATAATACCCTACCGGGTATTTTTGGCCATCTGATAGGGGGTTTTGGCAGCATCAGAAGGCCCCCCGGTCGTGAACCAAAAATATCCGACCGGTACTAAAAATACCCGACCGGGTATTTTCCCTTTTGCCCAGAATAGTGACCCGGAGCATTTTGTTGATACCCGACCGGTTCCCTAAATACCCGACCGGGTATTATGACCGGGGATCGCGAATGCAGGCTGTTAAAAGCCTGTTTTGTGCGTTTTTGCAAGGGAGAGCTGGGTTTTGGATCCCAAACACCCAAGGGACGATCCATAGAAAGATAGGGCGATTTGAGGGCATTCTAAGAGTGGAATTGGAGGATTTCTTCGCCTTGGAAGCTCGAGTAACAAGCCCGGACTTGAAGACTGATCATCTGAAGATTCTTACTGCAGTCTCTCTCTTCTCTATGGAGTAACTTCCCTTCACTTAGGTTTTGAGGAACCCTAGCTATGTTTGTTTGATTGGATGATTGTATGAGTACTCTTACTTGATAATCTTGAGTTCATATTCAATCTATGCATGTTTTCATGATTCAATTCTGTTTTAGTCGAGATTATTGATTCTGCTTTGATTCTATGAGAGCGAATACCTGATTAGGTCAATAGAGCACCATAGATTGATAGTATTGGATCGATTGCTTTAGTCGAGGGTTGATTCAATGCTTTGTATCGATTGAGAACCTCATTTGATAGAGGGAATCTAGTTCATAACGCCTTGATCGGTTGTTCTAGAGAAGGATACGTCCCTCTAGGCAATTGACTCAAGAGGGCCTTGTTCCTTTAGTCGAGACTCAAGGTCTAGTCAAGGATTCTCCGCATTGTGAATGAAAGTGAAACAAGTTAGAGATCATCAATCGTTAATCTGGCTAGTGGCTAGGGGGAATCATACCTAAGTGAGTTCCCAACCTGTAATTAGATTAACTTTAACTGTAGTTTGCTAGAGTAGTTTTAGTTCTTCCATCTTAATCTGGTTTGCTAGATAATGAACTGAAGCTGAGTAATAGTAACTCTAGAGACCCGTGGATTCGATATTTATTACTTGAGCCACTATATATAGTACAGTCCCTTTCATTGGTTCCACTTGGCCATTGTTAGAAGTTGTGTCATAGCGAGTCAGCAGCTCATGCTTGCCGTCTAACTTAAAGACATTAAATAAAATTACTGACGGGAGATAACCCGGATTGCATTGTTTTCCCTTTTTTTCTTTATGATGGATTGGTTTAATAAAAGTGTTGTTGTTTAATCTAAACTTAGAAAATTGGCAATGATGTGTCTGATAATGCAAGTTATGTTCTCCCAAACACAATTTTTTTTCCTTGCATTATTTTTGTCCTACCATGAAGGCAACTAGTCGCACCCAACAACCAAATCGGGCGGATTGACCAAACCAGCACTTAAAATCGGCTGCCAAAAGGGTGGCCTGAGCTAAGTTTGGCCATTAAGGCCGACGATTTTAAGGGGTCATGCTCACCCCTCCTTCTTCCTCGCTTTACCCACAAACACCTTTCACCTCCATTTTCCATCTTCCTGTCCACCATTGCCGAGCTCAAAGCCCCAGAAGCACCTCCAAACTCCATCAACTCTTCCATCCTACATCACCAAAACACCCAAAATCACCTACCCTATCACATCTAAGCATTAACCCTCAACTGCAACCCCCAATTTGCATCAAAGAAGAATTTAGAGGCCTTTTCTCCAAGTTGAGGCCGCCACCACCATTGTCTTCCTCTTTCGATTTTCTTCAATTCGTCCCACTCCATGGCTTCCAGTTATGTTATGCTTCTGCTTAGAATTGTTTGGGAGCTTGAATGAGGTGAATTGTTGATTGATTGAATAATTGGTGGTATGTAGGGTTCGAATTTTGCATACCAAACCCTTCGAATTTTGAAATTTCAATTTGAGGCATTATGATTGAAATTGAGGATGGTTCTAGGTGGTATTTACATATTTAGGTTACCATGGTAATTACCAAACCAAACAAGTCAAATTTATATTAACCATGGAATACAATATCATTATCAAACCGTTCAAATTGGAACATAGGTGTTTCGGGGGCTTCATCGCTCTGCCATTGCCGTCAGTAGATCATTGTCGATCTCAATCCTGAATCTGCATGAAGTGCCTCACCATATCCAAACCCGTCCTCTCTAGATATGGCGAGAGTCGATCATGCCAAGCGGGCAAGCTTGTTGACCCTCTATAAGTGACGGGAAGAAGTGATTCCTACAAAAAAAAATGCAAAAAACACAAAGTTGTTAGTCAAAGGAAAGCAAAATAAAACCTTTTAAAATACTTAAATAATGGAAAATTTTATAAGGTACGGAGTGTCTACCGGATTGTTGTGCCAAATTGCACGGGAGCGATGTGTTGCTTGCTCGGGTAAATACTTCGCATCCCTTGGTCCATGATCGATATACAATTGAGGATCGTATATCTTGTCACCCATTTATAATTAAAATTGAATGAAATCAGCTTTTTCGATTACAAAAAAAAATCACAAAAGGAAAAGCAAGTACGTACCCTAAGAGCCTCTTCGTCCATTTTTTTGCGGAAGCCAGACATGTTCGACGGCTTTTAGAGGGGAGGGCTATTGGAAATAATTCTAGGAATTCCTTTTGATGCGGAAGATCGGGCTTAGTCGCAACCACAAAGCATATTTAGAACGAAACAAGAGTGGAGGAATGGAAATAACTCTAGGAATTCCTTTTGATGCGGAAGATACGGTTTAGCCGCAACCACAGAGCATATTTAGAACGAAACTAGAGTGGAGGAATGGAAATAAATCTAGGAATTCCTTTTGATGCGGAAGATCGGGCTTATCTGCAACCACATAGCATACTTAGAACGAAACTAGAGTGGAGGAATGGAAGGAAAAAGAAGAACTGTGTGGTGGTGTGGTTTGGAATGGGGGAGAAGGGTGGTATTCATAGGAGGAGGATCCGCTGGAGAGAGAAAAAGTGCAATCACCAAAGCTCTCAATGGCAGTGAAGACCTTGCTTTGCTAGAAGACGGTGAAGACCCCCGATTGCTGACGTGGGACGCTGTGATGCGTTGGATCTGGGAGGAAAACCAGGATTCGCGCCTCATTGCATTCCGCGACAGCGCTAAATGGGCGGGCGACGCAGATTATTGACGGGTCCATAGCTCATTCACCGCGTTTGTTAACGACAGTGAATGCGTTGCGGTCCACGTCAGGGATCCACGCCCCCAACCAGGGGCGGAGCCAGGATCTCGAGACCGGGTGGGCCGAAAAAAATTAAATCTAAATAAAAAATAATTATGACAAATCACTCAAAATAGTTTGTAAACTAAATTTTTTAGCTATATTTATTCCAATATAAATAACTAAATTATCAGCAAAGCTCATCATTCATTTTGTTTCGTAGTCTATTCTTCACTATTCATAACCGAAAAATACATGTTCACCTGTAGCAGTGAAAACTAGAAGAGTTAAAAGAAACAAATCCGCCTATAAACAAGATTGAATTTCATTGACAGTCTTATTTTTGTTAATTCCTTATATAGATTAAAAATAGACGATAGCTTCTGCCATTTGGATTCAGGAATTATAGATGAGAACTAAAATAATGAAGTCTTGAAGTGAGTAAATCAAAAGGCACAATATGTAATAGCTAGGAATTGAACCCATGTCCTTTATGATAAAAGTAAAGCTTGACTACCATTAAGCTACATGGCCATTACCTTAAGTAGTATATTGGACTAGGTATACTTATAATTTTACTAAATATCCTTAACATTCTAGGGGCCGAAACCATTTCCGGGGGGCCGGGGCCCACCCTATGATCACCGTAGCTCCGCCCCTGCCCCCAACCCCTTCACCGTAGTCGTTCGATGCCGTGAGGCGCGGATTATGGTTTCTTTACATATCGGACGCCTCACCATGTTACACGTCAGCAGTGAGCACATCACCACAAGTGACAATAACGGTGATGGTTAAAAAATTATTCACTATGTTTAACCAAAATGGTGATGCATTCGCTATTATTGACAAACGCGGTGAATATCCGCTTTTGTTAACAGCAGTCTTTGTCAAACATGTATAGATTGATTATTATTTTTTTAACATATGTATTTTGGTAAAGAATTTAAAAAACATGTGTATTCGGGGGGGGGGGATCCACGAAGGGTAACGCTTTGTTTGGGAGGAGGTGCAAGTATAGGGGGGTGCATATTATAAAGGGTAAATGGTATTCCCGAGATAATTGCACTCGTTTGGTTAGAATTGAATAGTGCTAGGGGTTGATAAAATAGGGGCAAGTTCACTATTCTACCTCCCTCCCCAAATCGGGGTGCAAAGATGGAAGAAGTGGAGGTTGATTATTATATTAGAGGGGAAATGTAGAAAAGGGGTGGGTTATCAGAGAGTGGTGGGCCATGATGAGTGGGAACGTGGGAAATGGGTGGGTTTTGAATATTTTTTATTTGTTGTATTTTTTTAATTATAATAATTATTATATTGATATTTATATTTTATCCATACAATTTGCACCCCTTACTTTATCTCCCAAACAACAATTTGCACTACAATTTACATCCATTTACAATTTGCTTCCCTATAATTTACCCCTCAACTTGCAGCCTATTTGAATTTGCACCCCCTCGTTGCCAAACATAGCGTAAAGCATCTTGCATTGGACAGGAATGTGACCGTTGGAGGACAAGGGCCCCCGAGAAGTGATGAGTGATGCCCTCCCCTCCCCTCCCCTCCGCTGAAATCTAACGGTAATCACTAATCATTAATTAACTCATAGTGGGGCGGGCCCAAAAGAGTTTTTGTATGTAAAAACTAAAAAGCGTCGACAGAAAGTATAATAACGAAAAGCCCACTACTGCCTTCCTTCTTCCCTCTCCCCCCTCTTTTCTTTCTCGATCGCACGCTTCAGTGGCATTGAGCAAGTTTACGACAACACAACAGAGGAAGAGAGGGGAAAAAGCGGCAATGGTGGTTAAGGCTGAACCAGCGACCCCGGTGCAGCAGACAGACGTGGTTCAGGTGCTGGAAGTAACATCTCCGCCGCCAGCACCCGCTCCCCACCCATACGCGTTTCATGTCTCCGGTCCCCGCAATGTCGCTTCCCCGAATTGGAGAGACCTCATCAGTTCCAGTTGGTTAGTTTCTTCCCCGCTCCGCCGTAAATTCCGATTCGTCTCTATACCTGCATTCCGATTATTTTGAATCAAACGCAGATCCGATTGGGGTTCCGAAGCTTTTACCAAATTTACTTCCCTTAAATAGCATTCTAGGTTTCTTCTGTTGATACTTCTTTGAGTTCATCCCCAGATAGGCTGAATGATGTTTCCATGCCTGCAATTGAAAGTTAAGATCATGTGGAGAATCACAATCGAAAAATCTCTTCTTTCTTTCTTTCTTTCTTTCTCTTTCCTGGTCTCTTTCTTGATCGTGTAGGATTTAGGTGAAATTATTAGCGAGAAATTCAGGGGGTCGTTTGGATTTGGGAGAATGCCAAGGATTCTGAAGAATCCCATAGTGATTTCCCTCTCACCGTGATCCCTTACTAGTTGTGTATTGTGGGTGGCAGGAAAGACGACAACTACAAGAGGACGGTGATTGCGTGCTTCATCCAAGCAGTCTACTTGCTGGAACTTGACAGGCAAGAAAACAGGACCCCAGCGGATGCCCTAGCCCCAACCTGGTGGACACGCTTCAAGTACAAGCTCTCCCAAACTCTGATCGATGAAAGGGACGGATCCATATTCGGTGCAATCCTGGAATGGGATCGATCCGCAGCAGTCTCGGACATGATCCTCATCAGGCCTAGTGGGGCACCCAGGGCTGTCCTGGTACTGCGAGGGACCTTGCTCAAGGGCCCCACCATGAGACGGGACATCGAGGACGACCTTCGTTTCCTCGCTTGGGAGAGCCTCAAGGGCTCTGTCCGGTTCAACGTGGCGCTGCAGGCGTTGAGGTCGGTTGCTGAGAGGTACGGTGCAAGCAATGTCTGTGTTGCAGGTCATTCCCTAGGAGCTGGCTTTGCTCTCCAGGTTGGCAAGGCGCTGGCTAAAGAAGCCATATTTGTGGATGCTCATCTCTTCAACCCGCCTTCTGTGTCTCTCGCAATGAGTTTCAGGAACATGGGGGAGAAGGCCGAGTTCGCCTGGAAGAGGTTGAAGGCTATGCTTCCTTACGCTGCTGCAGCTGAAACTTCGGCTGTCACCATCCTTGACGGGCAGAATGGTAACAATGGTTCTTCTGGCTTGAGGAACTGGATTCCGCAGTTTGGGGACAAAACGAACATGGGGTCCAAGAAATGGGTACCTCATTTGTATGTGAATAACAGCGATTATATATGCTGCCACTACACCAACCCGGATGGACAGAATAATGGAGGTGGCGAAAATAAGGAGAATGTTGGCGCCGCCGGTGGCTGCAGCAGCAGCAACATTGGGCAGGTTTCAGCGAAGCTGTTTGTGATGGCCAAGGAGAAACAGAAGTTTCTTGAAGCTCATGGGCTGGAGCAATGGTGGTCTGACGATGCGCAAGGCCTGAAACTAGGCCTCCCAAATAGCAAGCTCATGAGCAGGCAGCTTAGATCATTATATAGCCTCCCAGCTCAACCAACACAAGCCAAGCCACAGCAGCAATAACACAATGAAGGGTTGGCTGGTTTTTTCTGCTTTGCTAAATACCTCGTTTTACAGTTTCCACCCTTACCTTTATCGCCTACAAGAGTTTTGTTATTTTACATCAATAACTGTAAAGAGTGATGTTATTCTGTTTATGGCATTTGAACCATCCTGCTTCTTCAGAATCGATTGCAAATTTGTCCAACAACTCGAAATCATCTGCCACCCCTCTTTTTATTTTTCTCTTTTATCAAGACTCTAGATCTGATACAAAGTAATACCTTTAGAAGAAAAGAAACACTTACAAAGTCTCCAAATTTGGTTGCATGAAGAAAAAGAATGATAAATCAGGCTAGACATGAAGAAGTTTCAAGTGTATCTCTGAAATTTAATGAAGCTGTCTTCGAAATCTCACTCATCATACAATAACTTTTCTAGAAAGGGATAAAATGGAAACAGGGTACAGTGTATAATTACGCACGTCGAGATCCTTGAGCATTCTCCAAAAACGAAGAGCCTAGCTGTATCATAAGGGGGTAAACAGGGCTGAATTCTTTGTCTCCTCTTGACCTGACTTTTACTGCATAATCGTCTAGGGTGGCTTTGACACCTTTCCAAATCTGATCCTCTCCTTGAGAATCAAGCCACAATGAATACTGAAGAGGAGTAAGCTTGTTCCTTTGCATTGGCGACAGCAGTTCATCAGGCCCTCGAGAATACAGGTGGTGAAGTATGACATTCAGCGGCAAATCTTGAAGAAGAGGAGAAGATGCCAATTGAGATGTCTCCAAAAATATAAGAGGACGGAAGGCTCGAAGGGCTCGATAAGGTGCACCCAGCTGTTCTACTGGGAACAAACTCTGCCCTACAGTGAGCTCCAGCTCAGCCATGTCTCTAGCCATTCTCAGTTTCCCAGATTCTGAGAGCGGTCTCACAAGAGAAGCATGCCTCACAAACAATATCAGCACCCGTGCTGCCATGTTCCTAACGAGCTGGGTGCATATAGTTTCTATCCTTGCATTTGCCGAAGATGGTAACAACCTAGACAAGAACTCGGTCCGAAAGTGAAGGACGCACTTCTGCAACTCCTCCATGTAAGGTGATGCGTTGTTATCCATTGCAGCATCCATGCCAAGTACTCCAAAGTTTTGATCATGTATTTGCAAAATACATGACTCTAGACGGTCAATCATTGCTTTGAACAAGGGAGTTACGGCATCTCTTGCAACTCCATAAATAACACCCAAGGAAGGAGATAGTACTTCTGCAGCAATGCTTGGCAATTTCATAACAATGGATGATATACGTGTATGGATTTCTTGCAGATGCTGGGATAGCACAAAGTTTCTCAACTGTGCAGGAGTTGCAGCACCACTGATTTGACGTGCCTCATGGCCAGCTGATATCTGCCAGAAAAAGAAAATATATCCTTCAAATGACTATCCCAACTGGGCAACAACCACAAAGAAAAAATAAAAGATACATGAATTTTCCAAGTGCAGAATGAAGTATAGATTCAGTGGCTATAAAATCAATGGATATTCAGTCTTCTGTCTTGAACTTGACAATATACTAAGCAATGCATTGTGCATAGAGAGATCAAAGACATGATGACCAAATGGAAAATCGGATGAATCCCACCCTCACCTCTGACTTTACCACCTTTGCATTGCCATCTACATATTCTCGTAACAGCAATAACTAAGAAATGCATCTTTGAAGAATTTACCACCATAATACTATAAAGCAAATACCAAATTGCTATACAGCAAGGTATCAGGACAGCAAGGTAATACACAAATCATTACAGCTACTCTAGATTATATCCATGACAAGATGTAACCAAATAATTCAGTCTGGCGGGTGAAACTAAATCCACATCAAAGTTAACAATTACCTGGTATTCAGCCCTTTCGGCAAGGAGGAGCAAGACTTTGCCAATTTCACGCAACACTAGCAGCGTCAAACGCCCATCTACCTGAACAGCTTCAATCTCTTCCTGAATACGTGATATGATTTTTGAGATCTGGTCTTTGGAGGGTACACTTCCTCTGCTTGACACAGGGAATATAGTATTCACAAGATCTGAAAGGCGACTTAAGCACAATGTCAAGAAAGCCGTCTGGAAAATTTCAATAGCTGCAACCATCTGCTCTTTTCCTTCTAAACTAATAGCCGGTGAAACCCCTTTAACATCAGTATCTCGTGATATTCTGTCGAGTAGATTTTCTATGATCGAAAAGAGCTTCGGATATCCTGTAGTAAATATTTCCTTCACAAAGCTTGAAGCAGTAAAAACAGACTTCATCTGGCTGGCAAAAGACTTCACTAAAGCTTCCCAAACTCGCTCCGTCAGCATGTTATCCCCCTCCTAAACAAAAATAAGTACAACAAACTTCAGCAAAAAGGGTAACAAAACCTTGAAAGAAATCATGATTCTAGTCACCATCACATTGATAAAATTAGGTTATAGGACACAGACTAGATACACGTAAGTTCACAGATCCGAGATGATCTTAGATTGTATGGCACCAGAAGTAAATCTATCGTTAAAATCATTAACAAACAATCAACCAAAAAATGGTCAAGCACGAATAGTAAATGTCTCTTGGGCTTAGGGCATTGAATCAGAAGAAAGTCCCGGGCTCATCAACCCCACACTTCCGGATACTCAATTCTCAACTCAAATTCACCTTCCATTAACTAAGAAAACAAGGATGGACGTAGAGCAATTCAATAGCAAGAGATTAAGCTGACCTTAATAACTTCTTCAAGGAGCAAGGCGTGAGTGAATGGATCCCTTTTCTTGGAGAGGACCCTCTCCAAGTGCCAAACTGCAACCATAATAGAATGCAACTGATCCATACAACTTCCCACCCTCTGCCAGAGCCCATCTCTAGCCTTTGCTCCTCCTCCAATCTGTGGCGTTCCACTCCCTCTGATCCCTCCTGGTCCAAACCCTCCGCCGCCCCCTCCCATTGAAATCGCCTTCATGTCCAATGCGGCTCCAATACTCTTCACCCCAATTCCCTTGTACTTATTCACCAGCTGCTCCACAGTGACCTTCAACTCTCCCAAATTATAGAAAACCTGCAAGCCAGTGCCCACTTCAGCCTGGTTCAAGCCTTCCATCCCATTCTCTAGAACTTTCATCGCCTCGGCTCGTAACCTCTCCCCGATTTCTCTCACCAGCTTCAGCTCTTCATCCACAATTTCAATCCCCACCAAATCATACTCATGGCACATACTTAAAATCTCACAGTGCAGCTGGGCGGCCTTGGCAAGATCCAGCTTCTCGGGTTCCGTCTCCGACGCAGATGCGAGATCTCGCAGCTTCTTCGACAGTCGAAGCGCCCGGATCGTGTGTTGCAATAGCTCGGTGGTGGAATGGAGATTCGAGAGCTGCAAGGTCTTGGTCTGGATGGATTTGTGAGGATCGGAGAGTTCGGATCGCACGCGAAGCACGGAGGACTGAAGAGATGCGACGGCGGATCGGACGGTGGAGAGCGCGTGCTCGGCATGCTTAAGAGAGGAGAGTTGGTTGAGGAGTTCGGGGTGGCGGGAAAGGACTTCGGTGCGTATCTGTGATTCCAGGAGGCGAATTGCGCTGTGAAGGCGCTCGGCGGTGGAGGCAGGGGAACCGGAGGAGAGAGCGGCGGAGGAGAAGGAGGTGGTGGAGAATGAGGGAGAGAGGAAAGGGGAAAGGATTGGGTCATTGGCGAAGGAATCGAGCGGAGAAGCGGCTGATGTGGAGGTTCCGGTTGTGGTAGTGGATGCGGCAGGGTTCTTGAAGGTGGAAAGACGCTGGAGGGGGGAGGAAGATGGGGAAAGTTGAGATCTCTGGATTGCCGCCGGCGACGCCATGATTTAACTTCTGCCGTTTAGTATCGGAGGATTTTACAATATATTAGGTGCTTGCTCTTTTTCTGTTCAGTGAAGTTGGGGTCTCTTGCTGAAAGCCATCAACTGCCAATTGGGCTGAACTATAAGTGAAATGAAGCTCTGTTTTAGTCAAGGCCCATAAACGTTTTCCTGAGCGCTCTTCCTTGCGGTGGAATTGGATTTATAGTGACAAGTTGAGATGCAAATGAGTGAAGTCGAGCTGAGTTTTTTTTTTTTTTATAAAAGATAATCTTATATATATCAGAAAAAAGTCGAGCGAGTCTTGATAAGTTTGAGTTTGACATGTTCTTTTAAGGGTAAATCTATCTACACAATAAATAAAAGCCGGATGAAAAAATTTGAGGCCTCATTTCAAATTTCCTGCATCTAGAATGAAAGTAGGAAGGGTAGATTCGTCTTCACAATCACTTATTATTTTCTTATTTGCAGAAAAAATACATCAATAATGAGATTTGAACTGTGGTCTCTTCGAACAAAGATAAGAAACATACCAGCTACAATAAACACATTTGCGTGATCTTTTTCCATTAAAAACATACAAAATCTGGAAAAATATAGGAGTTTTCCACCACGTTTAGCAACCAAAATGTCATTGATTCAAATATTGTATATCGAATTGCACTCTTGAATGCGTAGAAACGATGTATAATTCTTAACATAGACTTAATTGTTATAACTATCATAAAGTAACAATATTTTTAAACACAGAACTTTTGAGTGAATATGGGGCACATGTGTCTTTAAGAAGAGGGGAAAATAGGGAAATGTTGAGTGATGTTGGTTTGCCGAACGCGGATGGAAAAGACACTACTAATGTAAACGGGCTCATATAGTGCCTCAACCCACTAAACGCTCAACCATCACCGTCTCTCCAAACTTCTCATCAGACTCAACAATCGGCTAACCTCCTCTACCTCTATTATTAAGTCAGAGCAATTCTTGGAGGTGTAAATATGGATATATTGAGTGTTGTTGGTTTGCCCAACGCAAAATGGAAAAGGTGTTACTGATGTAAACGAGCCCAAATAGTGTCCGACCCACTAAACACTCAACCACCGGGTTACTTTCGCCACACCTAATATAAGAGTGAAATGGGAAAGATGTTTCCCCCATTACAAAATCCTTGTATCCATAGCAAAAGTAGGAAGGATAGATTCGTCTTCACAATCATTTATTATTTTCTTATTTACAGGTAAAATACATAAGTGATGGGATTTGAATTGTGATCTTTTTGAGAAAAGATAAGAAACATAACCAGTTAGACTAAACAAATTTGTTTAAACCTTTTAAATTAAAAACATACAGGAAGCTTAAATCTGAAAAATCATTGGAATTTTCTATCATAGTTAGCTAAGCCACTAACTCTCCCCTAAATAATTTTTTGGTATTTGATACTTCTATTTTCATATTTAGATTACTTTAATTCGAGTTGAATAATTAATTCTATTTCTATTTATCTTATAAAAGGAGAATAATTTTCAAATCACAAGCCTAATGTCATTGGTGCAAATATAGCAAATCAAATTGCAATATTGAATGTGTAGAAGCGGGTAAAATTCTTGACATAGACTTAAATAATATAACTAACATAAAGCAACAATATTTTTGAACATAGAAGTTTTGAGTGAATATGTGATAGAAACCTATTTCTAGGGTTCTATCGGTTGGGTTGGGAAATTGGGGATTGATGGAGATTTTAGGGATTGAGAAGAGATTAGAGATAGAGATTAAGAATTTGCGGAAGAAGAAGAAAAGAATAAGAATCGGCCGAAGCTTTAGATTAGGGAAGAAGAGAGATTAGGAGATAGAAGGAGTTTAGGGTTTGGGAGAATAATTCTTTCATTAACTTCTCATTCATACAACAAAAGACCCAAAGTACATATTATAGCTAAAGAATGGGAAAACCTAATAGACTATCCTAATATGACTCAAAGACTACTAACCATATCTAATAATATCCTAATAAACACTATTAATGATAATTATGATAGAATCAAGAAATTCAGTTTCTATCATCCCCTCCCCCTTGAGACCAACCTTGCCCTCAAGGTTGACCGACTCGACCCACTTCTTCCAGCCCTGACTCTTCCCTTTATTGCGCTTCCTTTTCTTCCAATCATGCTCAAGCTCACGAATGGGTGCAACATTACCAACCTTCCGTTTCATCGATCCTTCTCCCAGCTCGTGGCTTATATGACCCCAAATCAATGGGTCCATTACTTCTCTTCTCAACTCCACCAAATAGCTTGTGTCTCTGTTCACTTCAAAGTGTAGCTCATTATTCTTCCTGATTGGGCCTTTGGCAACTTCATTAAACCAATCTTCTACCTTCTTAGTTTCATTCCAAGGAGGCCCATGTTGTCTTGACAACTCATTTTCTAAGCCCATAGAATCACCTTCCTTGTCCTTGAAGCCCACCACATATAAAAGAGCTCTTACCAAAGGGCTCCTTTGAAGCCCAAATCTTACTTGAGGAATCAACCCATCAGTTCTTGGAAACCCATAAGATACTTTCATTCTCGGCCCACAACTAATCACATTTTCAGCCCACTTTACTTCTTGTTTTAGCCCATTCTGCTGGTTTCCATTCAGTCCTCTCTCAGGCCACTTCTGTCTAAGCTGCGGCCTGAGAATTAGTTTACCCCGCTGATTCTCACGGTTCGAAGCAAGCCCACCAAATTCTCTCTTCCCTGCTTGTCCATGACCGAGGCCCACTTCTTCGGACTCCTCCAACTTAGTAGCCCAAGTCTTTCGGCCCACACAGCTGGCCTGATGTCTCGAGCGGCTCATGGGAGACGGCGTAGGGTTCGTGGAATGAACGCCGCCACCCTCATCCTTCTTCCATTCCTGTGTCGGCAGCCTCATCTCTGTTTCGTCCGTCGACGACGAGCAGTACGCCAAAAGAGCAGCAGTCGGTTCCGGCGAAACGCCGCACGACTCCTCGTACGTCGCTGCTTGCTCCTTCTTCGGCGGCGGTGCACACGTCAGGCGAGCGAGTGGCGAACCTAGCGCCACCATGCTTGCCTTCTTCTCCGGCTTCTCGTTCGTCAACGACTCCTTCCACTTACTCGACGGTGACTTCATCCTCTCCGTCAACAGGTAGTTCAGCCGAAAACTCGTCACCGTCCAAAGATTCCTCGAGGGTTGTCCATCCTCCGACTTCTCAGCAAGCGTGCCTTCCACCAGCGAGCCCGATTCCTCCTTCCCGTCCGACATCAACACCCAGACCGGCGCATTCGTCCTGCGCGGGTCCTTCTGAGGCGACACCTCCTCGTCGGCGGATGCTCCTTGCTCCGTTCTCTCCCTCATTCCTTCTTTCTCCGCTGGCGAGCGAGGCGCCCGGCCACGAGAACTCCACTGCGGCGCTACATACCTCCGTCTCCTTTCCTTCCTGATCGGCGATTCGACGTAGGAAACTTCCGGTCGCTGCGCCCCTCGCTCGGATCTCGTTCCCAGCGTTAGACACCGGCAACCTGTCGTTGCCCTCACGAACACTTTCAGAATTGGCTTTTGAGTCCTCGACTCCATCGTCCTGTTCTTCGGTGGCTTCCTCTTTGGCGAACAGGCTACTGCTGACGCCCTATCCGTCGCCCCTTCTTTCGCCGGCGGCGAGTTGCCCAGTTGCCGGTTGGGTTTTGACCCTGGAGGCGAGACAGTAGTCTGCTGCGCCGACTTCTTGCCTGATCTTGTCGTGGAAGGTTTCGAGCTTGTCGTAGCTGCAAGGGAAACCGCCAATCGTCGTCGTCGTGCTTGTATGATTCGTGCTTCCGGTGCTGTTTGTGTGATTGGTGATGCAGGTGAGACCACCCTGCGGCCCATCGCCTTCTTCTTCAGCTGCAAGTCTTCCACCGATTCCTTTTTTCTAAACTTACAGCCGTCGATTCGAGGGATCAGTGGAATTTGAACAGATCTTGATGCAGCCTGGACTTGGTCATCGACAGCGGGTGATTTTTGCGCCGTCCGGCCCTTATCTTCGTCATGCTTGGGCGGCGGTGAAGATAGTTTGATTGTAGCAGTGTCGTTCGTGTGGCGATTAATCGATGATGGCGTTGCACACCTCCGAGCATCTTCGTACCGTCGATCAAAAGCTTGATGCAGCAGCTCCTGCAATTGAAACCATTCCTGATCAAAGAGCTTGGATGAGCTCATTCTGGCTCAGGATTAAGATGGAGTCGTCCCCGGTTGAGAGTTGTGAAGAACTCGTTCTCGAAACGGGGCTCTGATACCAAATGATAGAAACCTATTTCTAGGGTTCTATCGGTTGGGTTGGGAAATTGGGGATTGATGGAGATTTTAGGGATTGAGAAGAGATTAGAGATAGAGATTAAGAATTTGGGGAAGAAGAAGAAAAGAATAAGAATCAGCCGAAACTTTAGATTAGGGAAGAAGAGAAATTAGGAGATAGAAGGAGTTTAGGGTTTGGGAGAATAATTCTTTCATTAACTTCTCATTCATCCAACAAAAGACCCAAAGTACATATTTATAGCTAAAGACTGGGAAAACCTAATAGACTATCCTAATATGACTCAAAGACTACTAACCATGTCTAATAATATCCTAATAAACACTATTAATGATAATTATGATAGAATCAAGAAATTCGGTTTCTATCAATATGTATAACATGTGTCTTTAAGAGAGGGTAAATATGGAATTGTTGAGTGATGTTGATTTGTCGAATGCGAATTGAAAAGCCGCAACTAATGTAAATAGGTCTAAATGGTGTCCCGACCTACATACTAAACGCTCAACCTTCATCGTATCTCCAAACCTTCCCACTGGACACGACAACCGTCTAACCCCTCCACCTATATTGTTACGCAAAGCAATTTTTGGAGGGTTAAATATGGAAAGATTGAATGTTCTTGCTTGGAGAGCTGACTAGTGGGTTATTTAGTTTATTTGACTGTAATGTGTGATCTCTTAACATCAGTTCATTTGGTTGATCTTCTAGGTTGACTTTTGAGTTGATTAAAGATAAGCAGTGTCCCGGGCTCCCGTCCTACTAAAGGCTCAAGCATCACCGTCTCTCCAAACCTTCCCATCGGACTCGACAA